TATAATAATGTATGCCTGTGTAAGTACACCAAAGAAAGAGAGAGAGAGAGAGAGGGAGGGAGGGAGGGAGGGAAGGAAGGAAGAAAGAAAGAAAAAAAAAAGAAAAAGAAAGAAAACCCTTTTTGTTGTTGTCAAAAAATATATATATATATATTCAGTACTGGGTCCGGGAGACTAGGCAGAAAGTGTCCTGAGATTGGGTGGCCTAGGGAATCGTTCTTATGAGCTCAGCAAAAATGCACTGAGAATCTATTCAGAGAAAAGATTGCGAGGGGAAGAAGAATAGATACAACCACTCCTGACAGAGGGATAAACAGTCGTTTATTCACCTGAGTGGGAGGTGCAAACAGGGAATGTTTGATTCTGGAAAAAAGAACATGTTTTCACCAGCCTTCTGTCCCATTGGAAACTGTAGCAGGGTGAATAAAAGTATACCCGCCTGTCTTCACCCTTTCCCGTTACCTAGCATAGCAAGCACAGCAACCTGGTCTGCACATAGTAAAAACTCAACAAATAATTGTTAAATCAATCATGTCGACACATGAAATAGTGCATTGAGAAATTATTGCTGCTCCTGCTGTTGGATTATTTGGATGAAACACCTCCATCAAACCTGGGTTCTCACTGAGGAGTGATGTGTTTGTTCACTTAATCTGCTGCTTCATTTTTTTTCCTCGTTCTTATCAATGAAAACACATCGTATATTTCACAGATCAGTCTTCTCTCCCTATAAAAGAATGGTATCTGCCCGAACAGGCTTTTTGTCCTTTCCCTCTCCAATTTCTCTCTTTCTCCTAGCCGTCTGGAGTCCGCGCGAGGCATTGAGATTCCCGGTTTCCTGGCAGCTGGCTGAACTGACTGATTCGGAAAAGCGACTCCAAATTCTGGATTCGTGTGCCGGGGGCGGAGTGTCAGGCACAGTGACGCACTCTGCAGCGAGTCACTGAGCCAGGTTTCTGCCGCTCGCATCTGACGACTCAGGACGCTCCGAGGAAGCCCCTGGACATCCGCCTGGGAGCCCGCCGGTCGCCCCGGGGTCTGCTCTGTACGGCGGGGCCTTGGTCAAGATGGCGGCGCCCGCGCATGATGCCCAAGGGCGCCGCCATCGCAACTGCAGGACCCTCCGTGGTCGCGTTCGAGTTGGCCGCCATGTCGGCCTCCGCTTGAGACCCGATTCTGACAAAGCCAGAGGCCGCGGACCGGCGGAGGCGTGCGAGGACCACCGAAGAGGCCGGGCGTCCACCAGAGATGGCCGTGTCGGAGCCTGGGGGTAGCGCGGCGGTGAGCTCGACGATGGGGCGGGGGCGGTGTGGTGGTCGGAGATGGTGTCATTGGAGGTCAGTAACTGGAACGTTACTGTAGGCTGTAAAGATAGGGGGTTTGGGAATCGGAGTCGATGCTGGAGGGCCTTTGGCGGGGTTAGCGTTCTGAGGCATCTGTGGAGTCGTGATGGAGGGGTGTGTGCGGTCAGCGAGTGCTTCGGTTTTAAGGAATCGGTGTTTTGAGGGATCTGCGCTGCCCCTGATGGGGCGGGCGGAGTTGGGTCTGTGACAGTCACGGAAATGTCAGTTTGGAAGGCTATAGGGATCCGAAATGAGGCTTTGTGGTGTGTCAGAGATTGGGGAGGTCTGTGGGGGTCTGCAATTTGGAATGTCTATGGGAGCCAGGGATGACGGTGGCTGTGGTGGTTACAGACTGGATTGTCCCTCTCTGTGCGCAGAGGGGCAGGGAGATCAGCTAGGAAAGTTCATTGCAGTAGTTCAAGAGATGGTGACGGTTTGGAAAGGATTGTAGCAGTGAAATGGAAAATCGGATTCGGAATACATCCGGAGATGAGCCAATAGGACTTAACGATGGATTGATACGGAACATGGAGGAAGAGAAGAATCAAGATTTACATTTAGACTTTTGGCCCGTGGATCTGGATAGGTGGTAGTTCTATCTTCTGAAAAAGAGTTACGTTTGGAGAGGACCAGATCCGGTGTATGTAAATAGGAGCCAGGGTAGATGACAGTGGTTCTCTTTTGGCCATGTCAAGATGCCCATTACATGTCCAAGTAGAGATGTTGGGTAGTTGGTTAGATATATGAATCTAGAATTTAGGAGCGATCTGGGCTAGAGAATCCATATATGAAAGGCATCAGCATAAAGATGGTGTTTAAATCCGTAAGATTAGATGAGCTAACCTAGGGGGAGAAGGCAGATAGGGAAGAAAAGAGTACCAAGGACAGAGCTCCTAGCCACTGACATAGGAGAGAGAGAGCGGCAGGGAGAATATGAGAATAGGAGGAGTAGCCGTTGAGGTAGGAGGAAAACTGCGAATGTGGTGTTGAAGAAGCATAGAGAAGAAAGTTTTCTGGGACAGTGGGCGTAATCAGTTGTGTCACATGCTATTGTGAGATTACAGAGAATTTGACTTTAGCAAGATGTAGCCCAATTTCCGATAGCTCTTTTAGTGGAGTAATGAGGGTAAAATCCTGTTAGGATGAGTTGAAAGAATGGGAGGTAATGACGTAGAGACAGAAAGTATAAACAACACTAGGAGTTTTGCTGGTAAAAGGAACAAAGAAATTGACATTGGATGGGACATGAAATTAAGCAGGTTTCTTCAGATTGGTGGTATTAAAGCAACTTCATATGTCAATGGGAATGATCCAGTAAAAAGGGAAAATAGAAGTTACAAAAGAGAACAAGGTTAATTGCAGGGGTGATGTCCTTGAGGAGGCAGTTGAGGATGGGATCCAGAGCATAAATGCACAGAGTGGCCTTGGGTGAGAGAAGGGACAGTTCTTCCATTTTAACAGAAGGGAAGACAGATTCTATGGGTTTGGAAACAAGCTGGTGGAATTGGTGGTAAAAAGGAAAGGTAATTCTCATACATTTGCATTTATTTTCTCTTTGAAGTATAAGGCAAATTCATCAGCGGAGGGTAGGTAGATGTTGGAGATTTCAAAGAGAAAGGAGAAAATGTTTGGAATACTCCT